TGATCACCGCACGGCTCATGCAGTGGCAGGACCTGAGTCACGTTATTATGACGTCATGAATGCCAAGGTGATCCTCAAATACTCTCCCCGCATCAGCCTCCTCATATTTGCGGGCATGTAGTTTGGAAACTCGAGGGGTTTAGGTCTTAAGAAGGGCACGGCTGTGAACTGCACCGAATGACCTTTAACATGGCTATTTAGTTCAAGCGCGTTTCGCGGTCAGCCATGGCGTTGCGCTGAGGATGCCGGCCGTCAAATCGCGTCGGGCACTGTGCATCAGTGCAGATGTCCACTGATGTCCACTCAAACCGGACGGTACCCATCCTGTACTTTTGAGCTAACTGTGTTTGTGGAATATGCCTCATTTCGCGGTGGCGTAATTTACGGAAACTGAAAAAGAAAAAAGCAACGATAATCCCTGAAGCAACAATCACATTTACAGCTGATTTTTAACTATTTTCCAGACAAATCGGCCCATGTGGTTATTGATTTTGACGGGCCAGGTCTCCATCTAAAGCTGAGGGTCCGAACAGCCTCTACATGTGATGATACAACTTCAGGGGCATCTCCCGAAGGCCCAAGAGTGAGGCAAACTTCTCCTTTTTTTCTTAATCCTCATGGACTGCTAACTGCATTTTTAGCTCTTACATATTTCATATTTGACAACCATAAAACGACTCTGTGGGCTGGTCCTCTTTCCCGGAAACACTGCTTCGTGCAGTCCGAGCAGCGAGGACCACCAAATCCTTCCAGCGCATGTGCTGCTCAGTAGTTCAGTCAAGCACCTGTGAAAACATCACGTTGTTGACTTTCATCGCAAATGAATACATAGGGGTGCTGACATTAGTGTGGATAAGCCGAACGCGTCTAAAAAGTCAGGGATACGGGATTCGATTCGATTCCTCCCAGTGTCCGCCCTTCCTCCCAGGGTAAGAAGCAAGCGATGCCACATAGCCTCGAAACCTGAGTGGGCCGTAGAGCCCCAGCCATTGCCGAGCCGTAGACAACTAAATACATGCACCACCGACGCATAACCATATACCCTAATGTATTTACGTGCAAACCAATTTCGCAACGGACGAACGGAAATGACAGGGTATGGGGACGAATAATAACAGCGATGAATACAAACTCAAGAACATAAGGCGTTGCCAACGTAAGACATTCTTCATTCTGATGTTTGCAGCTCACTCCTTCGTTTGCATCATCACCATACAGGGAACATAGGTGCAGAATCGTGTCCGATATACTAAACACGACGTGTTTCACCATGCCTGATAGTGATACTCATACTCTGATAGCAAACCCAGACACCACACTCGCCATTGAAACATCTCCACGAACTGAAGAAAAAAAGGTGGATGCTGAAACATGCAAGCCAATCCCGATATCAGTATCTCAGGCATCCAGAAGTAAAATCAACCCCAACCCCAACCCCGAGTTATATTTTTCCAACCCACAGGCATATGATTGTGTAAGGGGGTCTCCTTAAGCAGCAAACGTCTGCAACATCGTGGACCTGGCCTATTTGAGGGAGGATAACTTATACGCACCCATACCCTAGTTATAACCTCATTGCATCACATAACATTATTGCTGAGCACAAGCAAAAGTGCCAAGATTCTGGATCAACAAGCTTTTTGTTGTTTTCAATTTCCTTCTGGAAACTTTCTTATCATTAAAAAATGTATCATTGACAGTTATTTTTTCCTGATGAGCTATAACTTGAATATGATTTGCAGCCTAAGGTTGATTGATCTGTGGTTAAAAAAATGTGATGAGTGTGTATATATATACCTTATTGGCATTTGTGTTTGTTGCATTTTTCCAACACACTATAATCTTTCTACAATCATTCATAATGTTGTGCAGGATATTGTCCTTTCCACTCTATAGGATCCCACTACCTATGATTTTTTACTGAGGACAGGTGTGTGAAACCCAGGGCTCTAGTTTCCCAAATGCAGGCCTGGCTGAATTAAACTGAATCTACTATCATTATTGCATGCATAATGTTTAAAAATTGATTCCATGAAATAACATATAAGTTGCACATTGGCACTCACTGCACCTTGGCCATGGGCATAACTTGGTGTTAACTGTGAGGCAACCTCTCAGTATTGTGACAGAAACTGAAAAATAAATTATTTTCAACAAAGTTGCATCAGTGAGTCATATGGCTGAAATCAAATTGGCAGCACCAGGAAATAGTGTGCCCTAGGCCAATTCACACCTCATTTCAGCCAATGTTCATCCTGAAATTTGCCCAGTCTCAGCCTCGAGACCAGCATCCCATTCTCCGCACAACCCGGCTATCAATTTTTCCCAAGGCCCCGTCGCCCAGGCTATATCAATATCATACTTAACCGGTAGGTAACATGCTTCTGTAAACAACGTACAAGAGTTTCTCCGGACGTTTGCTAACCGCTTCCCCACGCTCCCCACTGGACATCAACCGAACGACCTCACGGCGTCTTAACAGCAACTCGCAATCAAATGAGAATTGGGGTGCCAAATGGTGATGATTTTCCACTGTCATGGAACGAAAATAAATTCACGATGCTCACCACCACATAGGCCCTCCTCCTCTGTTGAGCATTGTGTTACCGGACAGCGCTGTTTAGTATCATTATGTGTGCTAAACTCCGCCAGTTTAGCACGAATCGGTACTAAACACGGTTCCCCTCTTAGCACGAATTCGTACTAATTAGGCTCGCGGCCGTGTTGGGGGGGTATTCATTTTAGCTTGTTTGGTCTTGTTCTGCTTGCCGGGTTGGTGGGTTCTGAGCGTTCTGGGTCTGGTGAAGATTGTGTTGGTAGGTAGGACTTTTTCCCTCGGGTGAGGCATTTAGGAAGCTTAATTTCTGTGACAGTGGTAGTGGATTGAACTTCTGCAATCTAGCTAATGTGAAGACGAGAGGCCCGTACGCAGGTGACGAATTCTGATCAGAGCATCCGCCGAGATTTCCATGTCACCTTTCGCTTCAACTTAAAACTTCAGTTCGGGTGATCCTTGCGTTTCACCGGGCGTTTTCTAGATCCGAAAAGTGGCGGTGCTTATGGTGGATTGCTACCTTATTGGCCAGTACATGGAGACCAGTGACTTGCAGTCATTCAAATCTTGTTTCATGTGGGTGACTCAACCACTACTTGCTCATGCAGCTTTTGAGTGCATTCACATAAGAATGACAGTCACAACTGCTTATGAAGAATGATCACTGTATGATACTATCAAGGGGCTTAGGATACTGTTCACCAAAAGTCCTTGTGCACACATGTTTGAAAAATTATGGTGAAGCTAGGCACACATGACTACTGAATGTGGTCCTCTCTCTCTCAATTTTCCCACCCTGCACCCTGACCCTGCACCCCTGCATAACCTCAATTTTGCACCACACAACCTTTGTATCACCCCACCATGCACCCCTCCTCCCCAACCTTTCATCCTGACCCTCTTTTCCAGTAGAGGACCTATGTTTGCCATAGCAATTACCTTCAGTATTGAATGCTTGCAGATTGGCAAGCAATTTTGGGTAACTGGAGAGAGAATACACTGAAATAGTCTGACTTGCATGGTGAGAAAATTGTCTACTTGACTTGCCTGTGACAAAAAATAATCCATTCTTGTCTTGGCCAGTCCTCTCATGATTTTCTATGGAAGCTAACATCTTTGCAACATTAGCTATATCATCATGTAATTTCAGTTGCAGTCATGGGACATTCTGTGGTGCATTGTATATTGCCCACCCACGTAGCTCAATCATTTGAGGCACCTGCCTTCTAGCATAGTGGTGGCGGGGGTGATGGGTTCGAGTCATGTTACTGTTCGCTGTCTGGTATTGGCAGGAGGCATATTCTTGGAATGTGTTACACATGCAAGTGGGTGCAATTTTCCAATCACTCAGCATTTGAGGCAGTCTTTTCAAGACTTATAATGTACTGTGGACACAATATGCTGTTCCACTCAGTAATTTTTTCTCCTGTTTTGTTTAAATTGTGTACTTCCTAACTTAAGTTATGGGCACAAAATGACCTCTGATGTTGGCATGTCCTTGAGCTCTTATCATCATCATGATGGGTTGGATGGCCAGCAGCTGGTGGCAGCCCACTCTGGGCCAAATGGCATCAGAGGGTGCTGCAGGCTACTGAGCATTACAGGATGGTTGATGCCTGCTTCAAACTTAAAAAACTTTGGCTGTGAAAGGTGCCCCAGTTAATTTTGTTTTCAGTGGTGATTGGTGTTTTGGAATGGCAATTTATGTTGAAACTGTTGAATTTGGAATAGTTTCCTGCAATACTGGTGGTGTGAACAATGTAAAGGCTGGCCTGTTTGAGTAATATTGGAAATGCAAGTTGCAACAGCTGTTAAAATGAATATTCCATGCTGACCTGTATTTCCTAGCTCTGACACACTGCTGTCCTTACTGGGCTTGACAGCTTACCTGCATCAGTATACCATTGATATGTGTTGTTACAGGATCAGTATGGCCGACTTCGACCCTCAAGATAGTGATGAGTCGGGTGATGAGGACAGCTGGAAGGATTCAACCCATTCTGGCCGTGATGGTGCCATTTTTCTGGTGGAAGTATCCCCAGAAATGTTTCAGAAGCGGGAGGATGAGGAAGATAGCTTTTTACAGCTGGCATTAAGGGTATGGTGTTCCCCCAATAGAAGCATCAATCAGGTGCAATTCAATTTTGATGCTGTGTCAGATTAGTGTGAATGATTGTCATGCATTATGATATGACTGACGATAATCTCTCGAGGGAGGGTGTCCATGTTCCGGCTCCCTCCCCTGTCCCCCTTGCGGGTAAGGTTGGCATGTTAGCTCTGCATGTATAACATTTGTAAAGGAATATTATTCCATTGCATAACTTTCTTGATATGCTACTGTTGGGCTTCTCCATAATATGCTCCAGTCAAAAGCATCTTCCAGTCATGCCACAAAGCTTCTGTAGTACCAGTCGAACCAGCTGTTTCTCCACAGTGCTCCCTCTCCATGATCGTCAACAAGGTCATCAGCTCCAGCTCCGACTACGTTGGGGTGGTGCTGTTTGGCACAGAGAAGAGCCGCAGTTCCAGCACCGACAACGTGTACGTGCTGCAGGAGATGACACTGCCCGGGGCGTCGGCCGTACTGGACCTCGAGCACGTGATCAAGGGTAAGGCGCTGGTGGCTGACGCTGGCTACAGGTGGGAGGAAGGGCCCTTGCCCCAGGATTTCCCATGCTTCCACATGGTTTCGGCGGTGACTATGGCACTAGGTGGTTTTACTGTCATAGATAGGTTTGGAGTGGTTAGTGTGTACAACTGCCGGAAATTTTGACCACTATTCATCATTCCAAAGCTTGGGAGCTAGGGTGAGAAATGACAGATATGGTCAACAAAGTGAGGATGTTTTTGCATTCCTGCATTCAAATCTTGCATGCGATAGAATTGATCATGTGTGATAAAATGGTTGAATAATGGTTTGGTTGTACATGGGAGTTTTCAAAAGTTTGTGCATTACTAACATGGTCTTCGGGTATTTTGCTCTAACCTCCCAGTCAGGTAAGTTGACAATTCTTCTGATAAACCCGTGAAAATGTATTGCTTTGCGTGGGTGTTGTGGGAACCATTTGGTGCCAATTGATTGCCGTGGTTTGTTTGATTAACATTGACATGGACTGAATCGCTCCTCTTTTCACCTGGAAGAAACTAGCAGACTCATATTGACACTGTTAGCCATACAATTTCTAATGACACTGACTATGTGTGCAAAATGGAAACGTACTCGGCTGGTACCAGGCTGGTGCGAGGCTGGTGCTACGTAAGGTCGTAGTTTGATTTAAAGAAGTGCCGGATGCAACACATGGAAAGCTCTGGGCAGTATCATATTGCGGTAAGCTACTCACGTACATTTGTTACCATGATGAGGTGAATTAAGTTGTATTGCTTGTGTGTTCTTAGCATTGCTGCTATGCTAGCAGACCTTATTTGATCAGAAGCTTGTTCACTAACAGATGCGTTCTTCCTTGCAGGAGATATGGACGAGTTCCGCAGAGAGATAGGCATCAGCAGCAAATTCGCCCTCGAAGACGCCTTATTTCAATGCTTGTCAATGTTTACCAACACGGACAAGTGAGTACAATCACAGGCATTCGTGGGAAGGACTATTTAAATCAGTGATGGGCGGTTTGCTTCGCGCTATGGTGCAGTGCTTCCTCTTGCATTCCAAATGTATTTCATAACTGAGGTCTAGTTAGTACATCAGGGGATCGGTGTGCACCATGTTGTTCGCGCTGTTGACACCAGTTAACATTCCACCTGGCATGCTCTCCTTGAGTACACAATACTGGATTTGGCGTTGTCACTGAGGCGCCGTGTACACCCACTCGCCGAAGCACGTACGTCTGGGCCCCATGATAACTCCCAGTCGCACCACAGCGCGCGGCCCACCCCCTGTGTTTGTGCGCTGCGCCCATCCCCGTCGCGCCAGTCGATCACGCATGGCGCCGCGCGCCCTCCAACGCCCTCTCACGGCCGCCGATCGCAGGACCCATAAGCTGCACTCGAAGCGCTTGCTGTTGTTCACGAGCCGCGACCGTCCCGTCGACGCCGACTCGGTGGACCTGCGGCGTCACGTCCACCAGAGGGTCAAGGATGCCCGCGACAACGATATCGCCGTCGATCTCTTCCCGCTCGGCAAGGCCTTCGACGTGGCCGCGTTCTACTCGGTGGGTGGTCGGGCGGCGCGGCGGCGGCGTGGTTTCACGCCCCGTGGCTGTGTGTTTCGGCAGTGCCTCCGACGCCTGGAAGCGGCGGGTTTGACCCTCCTCGGTGGGAGCGTTGGCACGCGGCGGGCGGCACGTCCGGGTCCTGGCGGTCCATGTGGGTGCTGCTGCTGCCCCCAGAACAGTCCCCCTGGCGCGTCTGTGTGCTGTGGACGGGTGGGCCAGCGGAGAACAGTCCCCCGGGCGCGTCTGTGTGCTGTGGACGGGTGGGCCAGCGGAGAACAGTCCGCACGCTGGACATGCTCGCCGCTGGACAATCGACAGCTGTCGATATTCCAGGGACAAACACGGTCGTCCAGGCAAATGCTTTGTGCGTCAACGCGCACGACGCCTTAGAGGTACGGCCGTAGCATCGGCTCCCACTGTTCGGTCCCGAGCATCGTGGTTTTGTTCCGGTCATGTGGCGTGCACTGGCATCCATTGCTTGATCTCGACTGTATAATGTTCGCACCCAGGTGTGTTTTATAACTGACTGAGAGACGAGCTTAAAAGCGGGTCCCGGTGGCGGCGTTTCTAGGTCCGTAACTAGGTCTAGGTCCGGGAGGTGAACTGAGCAACTATGACTTGTCAACAGGAGGTGTTGTTCGATAACGCATCGGACGAGCGGCCGCCGACCGCCGACGTCTCGGACAAGCTGGAGGAGCTGCTGGCGCGCGTGCGACAGAAGTCCTACAAGAAGAGGGTGCTCGGCAAGATCCCGTTCGTGCTCGGGGAGGGGCTGAAGCTGGCCGTCGGCGTGTACAACCTCATCCGGTGAGAGCGCGGCGTGGGTCCGTGACGAGCCGCGGGGTGTCTGGCGTTCGGACGTGACCGTCGGGACCCAGGCATGCCTGGGAGAGCGCGGCGTGGGTCCGTGACGAGCCGCGGGGTGTCTGGCGTTCGGACGTGGCCGTCGGGACCCAGGCATGCCTGGGAGAGCGCAGCGTGGGTCCGTGACGAGCCGCGGGGTGTCTGGCGTTCGTACGTGGCCGTCGGGACCCAGGCATGCCTGGGATGTTGACGTTCACCTGTTGCGATGCAGTGCCAACATGATGGTCGTGTACGGCAGGTATTTTCCCCGCCAGATTCGTACAAAAGCATTACGTCTGTTTCGTGTTTATTAGCGTCATTGCCACAATTACTGTCAGCTGGCAGCCGGCGTCGGTTCTCGGAAAGCGCACTGCATAGCTCATCTGTTCATCTCAACTGACCTGGTCGCGGACGTCACTCTCCATCCGCCGGCCGGCCGGCGCGACAGCTCCCATCCACTCCCTATTCCCACTGTCACCCGTGCGACCTGTAGTGCGCCTCGCTGCCAGCAGCCGGTCCCGCCGCTGCCGCCGCCACCGCCGCCTCCCCATGCCGATCTCCCGCCGGCGGCGCCGCGACCCACGACCTCGTCACCCTCTGTGCCGCCGCGACGCCGCGCTTCGCCGCCTCCCGTGACCCGCCACGCTGCCGCTCGGCCGCAGGCCGGCCACCAGGCCGTCGTCCGTGCTGCTGGAGAAGAACACCAACCAGCGGGTGAGCTCGATCACGACGTACGTGGCCGGCGAGCGCACGCTGCACCGCTCGGAGATCAACCACTGCCAGAAGGTCGGCGACCGCCAGATCGCCTTCAGCAGTGTGCGTATACCCGGCCCGGCCGGGCAGCGGGACGACATGTACGGGTGCGGTACGGGTACGGGTACGGGTACGGGTACGGGTACGGGTACGGGTACGGGTGCGGATACAGGTACGGGCACGGGTGCGGATACAGGTGCGGTGATCCGGAAGATGGAGTGATCGGGGCTTTTGGCCGCTGGCACCTCGGCCGGTATGGGTGCTGCCGTGAGGGGGGCATGCTGAATTGATAGTTGCACGTAAGGGCTGAAGAGGGTGGCGGCCGGCCCGTGACCGCGCGCCCTCTGTGTACGTGCGTGCAGGACGAGGTGCGCGAGCTGCGCGCCATCTGCGAGCCGGGCCTGGTACTGCTGGGCTTCCAGCCGGCCAGCCACCTGGACCCGCTGCAGCACGTGCAGCCGGCCAGCTTCATCTACCCGGAGGAGAACTGGATCAAAGGCAGGTGCTGAGACGCGACTCAGGGCGTCCGGCGCGCCTGCTCGGAGAGGCGGGTGTCCCGGCTGAACGCGTGCTTCTATTTGGCTTGGGGCACTCGTTTCGCTAGTTCGCTATTTAGATCACTAGTTTGCCTTCAGGTCTATGGGATTTCCCCGGCTCTCAGCCTTTGTGTATTTGTCACATGCCTGAAGTCCTTAATAACGTCAGTACGGGCATGGGTCATTTCTTGACCATGACCGCCATGTAGCGCACTTCTGAGATCAATCCCTGATGTCACGAGCAGATAAGTATTCACATGCTGTCAGTGAAGTAATTGATCGCCGCAACATCACGTGGCATATGAAGCGCGTCCGTCAGCACCGATGCTGCACGGTCCGACTCTGCCCCTTCAGCTCTGCGGAAAGCCTTCAGCACTCCCCCGCCGGGTCACCATGCCCCGGCCGTCTGCCTCAGCAGTCAGCCTGGTCTAGTCCCGGGCCGTCTGCTCCCCCAGTAAGTGACCTAACCGCTGGTCCCTCGCCAGTCAACGTGTCTCCCGCGAGCAGGTGTCGCCAGTCCTCCGCCGCGTCCGAGCCCCCGTCTCTCCCTCGCCAAGCCGACGCCGCGTGATCAGCTCCGCTGTAACCGGCAGGCAGCCGCCAGCTGTTCGCCGCTCTGCTGCGGCGCTGCTCGGAGCGCGCCCTGGTGGCCATGTGCCGTCTGGTGGCGCGCCGTAACGACACGCCGCACCTGGTGGCGCTGCAGCCGCAGCCAGAGGTGGTCAGCGACGGCGTGCAGACGGCGCCGCCCGGCTTCCACGTCATCTACCTGCCGTTCGCCGGTCAGTGGCGCCGCCGGCCGCCGCCGGGGCCGCGGCCCGAGCGTCCGGACGTGACCCGGGTGGGGGGTAGTGCAGGATCGCGCGGAGCGTGTCGGGTGTTAGTCGGGCGGCTCGCGGACCGGCAGCTGGCGCCGGCGGGTGAGGGACTGGGCGATAGGCAGACGGCGGTGGCTGCTGCGGGCGGGGACGAACGCTGCTAAGGATGAAGGGTATGGGATAGCCTGAGCTATGCTGAGGTTGCGGAGCAGATTATGTCGCCTCGCGTTGTAGAATAATACACATTGCGCGGTGGGTGCCGTGCCGGCGGTGGGTGCCGTGCCGGCGGAGGCAACAACTGTTTCAGTTTGGTTGTCAAGTGATCACTGTCTGCAGTGTTCTTTCCACTGTCCATGGGAGAGAAGTCAGATATGATGACAAATTGATATCTGACTGATGATCACAGACTAGGATCTCACTGATCCCATGGTATAGCATGTTGAGTTCGAGAAGGAGCGTGCGGCTGCAAAGGTATTGATGACGTCACAGATCCGATTTGTCAATTTTAGTAACTTACAGCTGCCTCAAATTTATCATATAAATAGTTTTGTGGGGTTCACAATGGTGGTGGTGGAGGGGAGAGGGTGCACAAGATGTGCACCCCAGAACAGCGAGCCTCGAGACAGTGAGCGCGAAGAGCACCGGGTCAGAACGAAATGGCCCGGTGGATGACTTACGTAGCCCCGACTCAAAAAGAGCTCCATTTCTCCCCGGCAGAAGAACGTTAACGCTAGCAACAGCCTGCTTTTTGTCGTCGGCAGGCGAGATACAAAGTTATAATAGCCGAAGCTAAAACCGTCTGGCCTAATCAAATTAGGTTCATGAGGCACAGTTAAACAATTTTTTAGCTGCGTCAGCGACACCTTCTGTATCGTCACATAATCTGCCCACCGTACAGACTGTGCTCACAATGACTGAGTTGTTCCGTTCCATTGCGTGCGGTGTGCGGCGCGCAGCTGCTGACGTCACCGGCCTGTTGCAGACGACGTCCGCCAGCTGTCGCTGCCGGCGCCGCGGCGCGCCACGGACGAGCAGATCGAAGCCGCCCGCGCCATCGTCACCAAACTGCGCTTCAAGTACGCGCCCGAGAAGATCGAGAACCCCCAGCTGCAGAAGCACTGGATCAACATCGAGGCTTTGGCGCTGAACCGGCCTGATGTGGAGGAGTTCACTGATTACACCGGTGAGGGGCGGGCGAAGAGGGCACCGATTACACCGGTGAGGGGCGGGCGGGGAGGGCGGCGCCCGCTCGCCGGCCTGCGGAGACGGACAGGCTCGCGGTGCGTGACTCGGGACAGGCCTGGTGCGGTGAGGTCGGTCGGCGCAGTCACCGGCGGTAGAGGCCTCTCGTGCCGTTTGCGGTTGTGTACTCGCTCCCCGCGCGCTCTGCGCCGCCAGTGGTGTCGCGCAGAAGGTACCCGGATATCTCTGTGCACTTATATCAAGTCTCCGTATGAATGTGTAGGACGGATTCTGCTGATTTTTGCGGTGGTCAATGCAGGGCCGACAGCCGTCTTTAAGAATCTGTTCTTGCCATTGATACCGAAACCTTTCATCGCGCAGAACATAACCGGTTCGAAACCCAGTCAAGGAAGTCATGAAACACGCACCAGCCCCAAACCATTCCTGGCCACTGCGTCGTGTGGACAGTGACCCGACTCTAAGACCCAAACCTAGCATCATCTGACTTGGCCATCTGTCGCCGCGCGCGACACCGTGGCGCACCGCGTCCTCGGCTTCATTGCCTCAGTGAACTGAAGAGTAGGTGCCGGCCATCCAGTCCGGTGACGACCAAAACCGCGCCCTGTTTCAGCACCGGACGTGGAGCGGATCAGGAAGAAGGCGGGGCCGCTGATTGAGAAGTTCCAGGAGCTCGTGTATCCAGAGGGGTACGACCCGCTGGCCAAGAGCAAGCCGCGGGCGCCCGCCGCCAAGCGGCCCAAGCTGGACCCCGACGCCGTGGACGTGCGCGCCCTGGCACTCGAAAAGAAGGTGAGGCCGTCGACCGCGGTCGCCGGCCCGACCCCCGCCCCACTTCCCTTCCCGGTATTCTTCTCTCCTACCGGCGGTGAAGCTTTCTCGTCAGCTTTTTGTTCGTGACAGAACTGCTGGGCCCTCGCTTTATGGTATGTTCTGTTATGAATGTTGTGCTGCAGTTCTTATGGGATTTCATTATACAAGAGGTTGCCGTAAGCACTAGCATAGCAGACTCGCACCAGTCTCGGCAGTGAGTCTCGCAGCCAGGTCCTGTTGGTCACGTGTCACACGGTTCTACCGCTAAACATCGGCGTCTGCTTCATCGCAGGTCCTGTCATCCCCATTCGCAGCACCTTTGCTCGTCCGTAATGTACCGCGGATCACACCGCAACGCCTGTGGCCGTCCCCACCGCTGAGGGAGGCGTCCGGACCAGCCCTCGCCTAAGCCGCGCCTTCCGTCGCAGGTCCACACGACGACGATGCCCGTGCTGAAGGCGTTCCTCCAGGACGCTGGCGTGTCCGTCAGCGGTCTGAAGAAGGCCGACCTTGTCCAGGCCGTGTACGAACAGCTGGAGCAGAAGCAGTAGCGGCCGGCGCCCCGTCAGCCGGCGGTGGGCCGGGACGGCGGGGCCACGGCGCCAGTACCCGCCGACATGGCGGCGGTTGAGCGCTCTCGACGTGCTGCGGCTCTTCTGCCGTGTCTTTTGCTGCTTGCTTTGTGATGATTATCGTTGAGTTTCTACTGATTTTTGTACGGACTAGACCAGAGTGGTCTGTACAGTTAAGTGTGTGATGTTTTTGTTGGATTGGCAGTGTTTGTGGCTACATTGGCGGTGTTCTACACGATGTCAAGACTTTCCATTGACTGTCTGGTGTGTGCGTGCGTGTGTGACTTGTGGATACCTTCAGCCACCCAGCGACCACGGGCGCTCGTGGACGGTTTTCCTGTTGTTACCGAGCATTATCGGACTTACAAGTGAAGTGCCTCAACTGCAACGATCTCTGACCCGCATAGTACAGAAAACGCACAATACATGCTTCGATAAACACTCGTTTGCTGTTTGCACAGTCTGTTAAAATGTGCGATGTTCTTGGCCGTGTTATGGATTTGTTAGTGGGTTGTTGGCGTGAACAGTGTTGTTTCAGAAGAAGCCAGAATTGGTTCGCCAGAGTCGTGCAAACTTCTGCGCAGTCGCACAGGCGACAGTAGCCGATGGGAAATCGCCGAATGCGTCGTTGCTTGAAGAGTCAACAGATGGCGTTGGGTGTCAGCAAACATTTGCGAAGCGGGAACAGCGCGCGGTTTCGGTTACGAAGTGTAAATAATAAAATGTCTCAGCGGATTATCATGTTGCATGGATTATGCGAGTGAAGCGTTTATTTTACCCGTCATTTTTCGCACGCTATTATTGAGGGCGTTATTGTCAGCGCCATAGAACAAATAGATGTCGGAACAAGCGCGCGCATTGTCACGGTCACCGAGCGCTTAGGCAGGGCCCTGCTACGTTAAGGCCCAGCAACCTGGGCCCACTGATGTGATTGGGATTTGCGTCCAGTTTCTATCGCTATTCGAACTGTGGGTCACAGAGCGTGCATGAGGTAGATGTACAAATATATCATGTCTCAGTATTTGGCCTGGCTTTCGCCAATTATTACGTCCACGCCGAAATGCGCTCCGTTACGCGCCCCGCCGTATGCATATCCGGCTGCCAGAGCAGCCAACCCGAAATATCACCCTGCCGCGCTCTGAGACTGTTCCTCGGCGACAGGTTTGGAGGCAGATGTAGCCGATTTAAGTCATTCAGGATCGACATTGGCCAGCGCACCAGATATTTGTCAGACGAGAACACAGAGTGTCGCCAAAGGTCCACGGCGCGGCAAGCGACTTAATCAGCGGAGGTCGCCACGCCCTCTCCCGGCAATGATCTTGTTTGTGGTGATTGCTTGCTGGCGAAGGTAGGTCGATCAGGCTCGTCTCCTTTGAACGGAATGGGAGCGAGTCTGACCTCTCGCAGCAACGACTTTGTTCACGCTATCAAAGCTGCAGGGCTCGAGAGGATTTTGAGACCTGACTTCAGATGCCGTGCTTCGTCGGGGCTAAAGCACGTCGGTGTGCATTGAGTAACAGAGGGCTGGTGCTGGTTAAATTTTCTCGCTATCTTTCTCGCTATTTTCTCA